CAGTACAAGCGGAGTCCCAATCTCAAAATGTAGTACCGGGCGGACCACTTTTAAACCCAACCTGGCGCCTCTCCCCATCCTTCGAAGTAGCCAGCCAGTATTCCCGCTAGACACACATTCTAAAGCCAAGGAGCCCTGCTGCACGAGCCTTGCTAAGCGGGAGTGAAGTCGTTGACCATGAGCCCGGCCCGGATACACACCAACTGAATCCTCGTGACGACAACAACTGTAGCTGCTGTAAGTACAAACGTCCAGGTGAACTCGTAAAGGTCAATATAGCGGGGGTCACAGTCACGAATCTCATTTCACCACTCGTGACGCGAGCAACTGAGGGTGTGTTTCCCTGCTGAAACTCGGGTAGACATACTACCCTACACCGTGCCCCYTTCGAGTCGCTCARCACCGACCCTAGCGTAGCCCGACTCCCAGTTCACTTGGCCTCTCTGACTTTCTGTGGTAGGTGTTTCGCGCCCGGCCCCGTCGCTCAGCCTCGAGCTCCCTACTGTGTCTTGGTAGGCGCCTGCACYTGGTCGCTCGTACGACCGGGTTCACTCGCTGTCATGGTGTRAATACCYCGGCCTGAGAGAGCCCCTTAAMAAGCGTTTTGGAGAGAGAGAGTTGCGGTGGCCACCAGGTAAGCTTCCAACCCCGCTGTTCCTTCGCGCCGCTCTTGGCAGTAGGTTATACKAAGTTGAATGAATCTGCCCCTAAACACGGGTAGATCCATTCCATACTCATATACTAGCCTACCATCCCCCYCCAGGCGCAACTCACAACAACTATACCTCCTACCCTACTGACTATTGTGCCAATTCACCCGCAGATTCCAACTCGCCTAACCCCAAACCCCCAAAATCACCCTTTGAATGACTAAATTCGGTTCAGAAATGACCGACCCAATCTGTTTTAACTCAGACTTCTCCTTCTCGTCGCCATCCCCGAYTACTCAGCGCAGTCTGATCTTTTMCTAACTCTCTATCTACTTATCCCAATGCTGAAACTAGCAGTACTATCTGATTCGCCCGGGGTCAAAACCCAGAAATATCACCTTTCCTCGCTCGAATCCGATCGGAAACGAGCGAGATATTCATTTCTTCGTCTCTTCCTCCCTCACCTCCGCCATGGCCTCAACGCAGTCCTTTCTCCTTCTAACACTAATTCTACTCACTCTCTCCTACAACTAACCTCTCTATGTGATTCGCCCGGCCTAAAAGCATCAAACTAGTATCTTCCCCCGCTTGATTCCGCCGAGGATAGGGTGTGGAAGACGTACTTCCTCTCCGCCATGACCAACTTATGCCATTTCTCTTGTTGCACGTATCTGGCGCGAAATCGCGCCGGATTCACCCCTTCGATGCTCTGCTCTGCTCCCCGTTCGTGCCCCTGCGCTCAACCTTCAGGCTGGCCCGCTGTCCAGTCAGCCTACTTCTCTACCTCGTCTCCACTTCGCCACACCGCCTCAACACTCCGCCCGCTGTTGCACAGCACTGTCCGGCATGCCCGTTGCTCCCTCCCGTTGCTCCGCCTCGCTCTCACGACACACGTCCTTCCCCTGCAATGCAGCGCAGCGCAGCGCTATATGGCCAGCCCGCGGAGAACCCTCGGGAGGACCCGGCTTTTAGCCGGTTCGATTAGTCTTTCGCCCCTATACCCAGTTCCTACGGGCGGTTCTGCCCATCCGTGTACTGCCAGCCTCCTCGCCGGCCTCTACCCCGCTCCGTTTTCTACACGTACCCGACGCAGGAACCCATCCGGGTTCGTTCGTACTACACTACACTCGTACTCCGCTCTTACCTCCTACCGTAGCCTGTCCATCGGCCCTTGGTACTCACTGTGGCCCGCGGTGCTTCCACCAGTTCTGCACCCGGGTAGTGATTCAGTCCTCCCTGTAGTGTAGCGGTGCCTCCGGGTGCCCCTGCTTTACTATAGCGCGCTAAGTCTAACACCACAAGGAGTAGTGATCGATGCTCCCTTCTGGTGCCGCCCGTCGCTGAGTAGTCCGACACGGTGAGAAAGCGGCCCCTGACAGCTCCAGCTATCCTTCGGGAAACTCCGGAGGAGGCTGGCTACTAGGCGGTTCAATTAGCCTTTACCTCTAACCCCAAAGTCCGACGAATGATCTGCGCATCAGTCGTGCCTTGCTTGTGTTGGTGCCAACTCCAGCCCACTGCGCACGCATCCGGCCCGGTCGGCATCCGGGTTCATTCCCGGATTTTACTGCGTCATCCCTACGCAGTGGCTGCACGAACCTTTCCCGCGCCATTCCTACCTTAACAGATGTCCTGAAGGGCCTCAATTGAGGACAGCGCCCCGGCGTAACTACGAAAATAGTTTGTAATTGCACTTCAGGCGACCCCGCAAATACAACCCTTCACGCGCTCCTACCGCAATCCCGCGTCCCAAAACTGGACGCGATAGAAAAGGGACCCAGAACAATAGACAAAAGGGAAATAAAATAAAATAACAGTAACGTCGGGGAGTCGCGGGATCGCTGGCACAGTGCCAGCCCCGCGGCTTGAGACCGCCGCCGCACCCATAGGCAAAACCGAGGGGGATAGCCCCACAGGGCCCTCAACCCCTCAGGTTTTCGCTCCATGCTACTCGGCTGCCGCCGCGCCGACGCCTGCTGACCTCGATCCCCGAACCTTCATAGTAACAACCCGCTGTCGTTACCTATAGGGCTATGCCCAAGCCTGAGATTAGTGCCCGCAGAGTACCATACGAGACGGTATGGCACGGCGCTTTGGGCCAACAAAACGGCTGCGCGACCCCCATTTGCCTGCGCCGGCTTGCTTATATAGTACCAATCAAAAGAAAATATCCTTAATTCCTGCTTAATCAAAAATAAATAAATAATAACAATAAGCAAAACGACCGAGGTCCGGATCGGCCTTACAATCAATATCAGAAAATAATCACGCGCGCCTTAAACTTGCGCGCCCACGCACTCGCTATTGTGGTCAACCACCTAGTCAACGCAATTACAGACGCAACCTCGCTTAGCGCGGTATACTTAAACTCTAGATTACAACTATTTTCTGTCACTTGCAAAAACCACGGCGGATACCCTTGTAAGGGTATTCGCACCGACAGCTTACCGGACCATATTAAGCGATGTCCCCGTCGCTTCGCCACATCAAAAAGCTATAAATCCATCCACATTCCAAATGCTGACGAAACAAGAGCCAATCCGATTAGCCGACAAACACAGGGTAGAGGCCTCCATCAAACCATGTCTTCACAACTATATGCTGCCAGGTTTCTAACCTGGGCCTCACACCGTCCAGAAATTAGGATAATGGCAGCATAAGTTCCAAAGACCTTCCCAATCGTCCTCTCCCCGGTCCTAGACAACCTTCGACTTTTCGTTGGGTGCCCCTAGTCCTGGCAAAAACTAGAGACGCGGGCCTTAATCGAGACCTTTTGAAGGCACTCTCGCCTTCCTTCTAAAAAATTTCTCGCAATCAAATACACGCAAGTATATATGTATATTTAATATTCGCTCAGCTCTTTCTGCAGTCTAGTACAAAAAGGCTAGGTCTCCACCTTGGCCCACCATAGCCTGGCTGATCGGACCAGGACCACGACCCACCGCATGGTTATTTAACGGCAGTACCTTCGTTGGTTACGCAACGATAGGTTACTTACTAGTAAGCACTCAATCATGATTTCCCCCCTAAAGTTTTCAACCATCATTATCCCGCGGAGTAATTTCATTGGGGCGGGCAACCCCCCTTAAACTCTTACCTCGCGGTCCCGCAGCCAGGTTGCGCCGGCTAGCAGCCATCCAATGGGGTTACGCCCTAGAGGTACTAACTTCTTTTCCGTTAGCTTGGCCTTTCTTCAAATGTCCCTAAATTAGCACAGGTGGTTAGACGGGGCGTCGCAAAACAAAATCAGAGGCCCACTGCGCGATACGCAGGGGTCCGAAGGCATTTACCAGCCCTCCTTCAATAGGCACGGCATCCCTCGCACGCCTACAAGCAAAATCACCGCTAAATCCACCATGCCGTGACCCCTGACTTGATTAGAGCCAGCAACCACCCACCCTGAGACATCTCTCGCCCTGCACTCATTGCGACTTTCTCAAACGTTTCAAACAAAAGTGGCCCTTTCCGTCAGACTCTATCACCCATCCAACAACTCGTCATGCCATAAATCAATTAAGTCACTTCTGAGGATGAGTTTTCCAACAAAAAAACCTCTCCCCTTTTCCAACCATTCAAACGGGACTCTTTTTATAAACAAAACACCCCCCTTTTCCAAAAATCACGAGGGGTTTCGCCATAAACAATACATTCCCTCTTCCAGAAATCACGAGGGTCTCATCATAAACCAAACACCCCCTCTCTCAAAGTCACGAGGGGTTTCGTTACATCACAACACATCATAAAACATCCCCCCTTTTCSAMAATCTAAGGGGGTCCCATCATAAAACAGAACATCACTGAGAGACCATCTTATGGGTCCTCATCACAACTTAGATAGCTTTCACAGACGGACTGCGCTTCCTCCCCGTATACTCTGCCTTATCAGTTGCCGTAGGCAGGTCGCACAAGTATACCGAGGAGTAGACAGTTTTACTTACAATCATACTCACAGTACCTATAATACACCAGATGTTTTTCACACATCGTCCACACAAACTCATCATACATCAGAGTACAGCCACACATGTGAGAGTGATAAGTGATCGTCACATATAAGAATGGTCAAAAACCTCATCATAATATATACTTAAGAAAATAAAATCAATCATAGCTCACTCAACCCAAGTCACACCAAACTTACATTAATAACTACCCCTAGAATACATGTCCGATCTGTGTCTCAAAGGTCAGGGCGTAGACTACCTAAATATGTACATGCCTCATCTAAACCATCCTGACCCCCAAAACCCCAACTCAGTATAAACAATAGAGTTCATATCTAGATTAATAGCAATCAACAAAAAGTCCTCTAAGTCTAAGAGGGTATTACACAGGACCTAAGTTGATACCTCACAAAAATGCTCGCTCACTTATATAGACAAAACCGACCCTACCTCCTCAATTCCTCCTGGTTTTGCCTATATAACTGAGCCCTAAGTCCATCTGCGGATTTYTCTACTATGCTACCCTGTTTATYATACATTTTACCTTCTACCTCTGAGACCTTCCCTGCTGCCTTATCCTCAAGAAACTCGAGAYAGTCCAAAGCCAGATGCACGTCCCTCTTGCAGTAAAAACATAGCTGATCTACTTTTCTCTTGAATTTCTTCTTCCTGGGCTGAGGAGGTGGCGATGAAGGAGATCCTACCAAGGTACTAACAACCTCCTGCSGCTCCTGTCGAGGAGCYGTGGTACTAACGACCTCCTGCTGCTCCGTCCCAGGAACCGGTCCCCCAGATTCAGATCCAGTAGCCCAAGATCCCAATCTACTCCTCAAATCCCCTGTCGCTGGGACGTACTCAGGCATGTCCAACCTCTGAGGCCTCCTCTMGAGTGTCTCTCCTGGYACTGTCRTGGGMTGCTCCTCAATCTCCTCTGGTCCATACTCAGGTGTGCCCATTTTCTGGAGCCTGCTCTCGATAGCACCCTCTACCTCAATCCCCATCTCTCTCTCTAGAGACTCCTCTATCCTCTGCTCAGGCGAAAACAAACTCACCTCTTCCTGCATAGTATGCACCACCTCAAGGAGCACGCCCATGGATCCCTCTGCTGAGCCCTGGGCCGGCTCACTGCTAGATGGTGGCGGCCCCTCCTCTACTACCAAAGGTACGACTGGGCCTGCCGCCAYYACTGGCAGCGTTGCGAGCTCAGWAGGGGCTCTAAACTCGAATGCCTCTCTCTCCGCCTGTCTCCGGGCTCTCGCCTCCTCTGGTTCCAGGATAGCTCTCCCCATAGGTGGCTCCTGGCGAGGCTCTGCTGCAGATGGCTGTCCTGGCAATCCTTGTCCCGGCTGCCTCTGCTCTCCCTGCCTGCTGCTCTCTGGCCTGTCCACCCTTCCCTGGGTTTGCTGCCTCAAACTCTCGATGATAGCTGCCTGGCTGGCCACCAAGGCCCTGAGTTCCTGAATTTCCATTTCCATAGCCTCCAAGCGTACTCCATGGCTGGCTTCCTTCATTTTCTTCCCCGCCAGATCGCCCTCTAATAACAAGTGCCGGTCAAAAGTGGTCTTGGCCAGGAACTTGATTTTACGATCTAACCTCTCTTCCGCCTTCCTGGCCACTCCAAACCCGGCTCTAACTGGCGATGGAAGTTCCTCTCCTCTCTGCTCCTTGAAGTCCCTCCACATCTCAGGAATCTCCACGGCCCTAGCTGGCGCGCTGGGTGGCTGACCCGGGAGTGCTCGTGCTGCCTCTGATCACTGCCCCTCCTGTTGCTGCTCCGGGAGCTCCCCCGCTGCCTTCAATCTCTGCCTCTCCTGCCATATCTCATCTATCCGTCTAGTTCTTCTCACCCTCTTTTCTTCAGCCGTCTCTCCAACTGACGCCCTTTCCTTCGTGCGAAGGTGGACCCTCTTTGGTATCTCTGCTTCCATCTCCTTCTCGGGCTGGCATGACTCCTGGCGCGGCTCAGCAGGTGCTGGCTCCTCCAGGTCTGGATGCTCCTGGGCATAAGCTGCTAGGTGGTTATCAATCAAAGTCAAAGTTTCCCTCCTTACAGCTGCCCTTTCTCTTCTCCTGCCGGCTCTCCCCTCTGGTGATGGGACCCTTTCTGATGAAAGAAGTGGGGCCTCCTCTCCCTGCAACCTCTCCTCTGCCTGCCGGGTGCTCCCTGGTGCATCTCCGAGTTTCAAACCCACTGCTGGCGTTTGTGGGGGCGTGTCCTCTCCAACCTCTATTACTTCCTTTCCTGCACGTCTCCCCTCTACGCCCAACCCTCTCTCTCGCTGAGTACCCTGGGCCTCTTCCCGTAGCACCTTCTCTTGTGACACCTCCTCTCGCGGTATCTCCCCCTGTGGTACCTCCTCTCGTGGCACCTCCCCTACTTGCCCTTCATGCTTCTCATCCTGAGGCGACGCTTTCCACTGAGAGATATCCAGATGCGTTTTTAACTCTCTCAACGGCCCTTCAGACACTGGCGGCTCCTCCCGTGGGTGTGCTGGCGACCTCCTCAATCCACCCTCAGTAAAACGATGGAACTCCACTGGTCCCAACCCATACTCAAGATATGTCCCTTGCTCTTCAACCTCTAGCTCCTGCTCCGGCTCCTCCTCTCTCCTGGCTAGGGCCTTCCGTCCTCCTCGGGATGGTCTCGCCTCCCTGGGCTCAGGGTCCCTCGGTCTCTGACTCCTCTGCCGCCTCTCGACTCTGGGCTGAGGGAGCTCTGGCCGTCGAAAGGCCTCTCTCAGATGTGCCCTGCAGCTCTCCCAATCTCGTGCCATGTCCCTGATCTGCATAGCCAGTGGCCTTTCCGC